AATGTTTTTCTACATTTTCATATATATTGTATTCTGTGTTGTAACTGAAACCAAAGTGTATATTATTTTTTATTACAAATATTTGCACTGTAAAAATGATAAACAAAAGAAATCGTATTTTTCAATTTACCTCATACAAGTACTGCAGTGCAATCGCTTTGTTGTGAAAGTGCAACTTACAGATGTAGATATTTTTTGTTACATAAGTGCACTTAAAACAAAACAATGTAAAACCTTAGAGCCTACAAGTCTAGTCAGTCCTATTTCTTGTTCAGCCAATCACTAAGACAAACAAGTTTGTTTACATTTACAGGAGATAATGCCGCTCTCTTCTTATTTACAATGATACCAGAAAATGAGAACAGGCATTTGCATGGCACTTTTGTAGCCAGCATTGCAAGGTATTTATGTGCCACATATACTAAACAGTCATATGCCCCTTCATGCTTCGGCCATCATTCCAGAGGACATGCTTCCATGCTGATGAGGCTCATTAAAATAAAAAAGTGTTAATTTAATTTCTGACTGAACTCCTTGGGGGAGAATTGTATGTCCCCTGCTCTGTTTTACCCACATTTCACATATGTTTCATGTTCATAGCAGTCCTGGATGATGACAAACTTGTTCGTCTGAGCAATTGGCTGAACAAGAAGTAGGACTGAGTGGACTTGCAGATTAAAATTTTACATTTTTTAAATTTTAATGCAGTTTTTTGGTACATAATTCTACATTAGTAAGTTCAACTTTCATAATAAAGAGATTGCACTACAGTACTTGTATTAGGTGAATTGAAAAATACTATTTCTTTTGTTTTTTTACAGTGCAAATACTTGTAATAAAAAATATAAAGTGAGCACTGTACACTTTGTATTCTGTGTTGTAATTGAAATCAATATATTTGAAAATGTAAAAAACATCTAAAATATTTAAATAAATGGTATTCTATTATTGTTTAACAGTGCGATTCATCACGATTCATTTTTTTAATCCCTTGACAGCCCTAATAAAAAAGTGATTTTAATTTATAAGGGGGAGGCAGTCGCAGTCAGAGGCTTGCTATGTGCAAGGGGTCACCAGTATAAAAGTTTGAGAACCATTGCACTAATCTAACCATATTACACGCACAGTTTCATACCGGAACTTTTCTATAGTAATTAGGAGCCAGATCAACAGCTGGTTTGAGTGAATGTAGCTTCAATGACTTCACTCCAGAAATGCATGGTTTTGTATAGGTTTTAAAAATCTGTTTATTCATCTTTTAAAAAGCACACTTTGTGAGGTATACATAGATGTAGGCCATTCCAGTCTGCAGCAGGGACCTGAGGAGGGTGTGGTGTCAGTGGCATAAAGCAGACTGTTTATCATGTGGAGCATGAGCCAATAATCTGCTATGTGGCTGGACTTTGGAAAGCTTGAGAAAGGAAATGTCAAGGTAATGTTAGGTTGTTGGTGTACTGAATCCACCTCTTTATCCCACTTGGGACACTGAGCATACATTTCTACACTCTGCAGGATTTAGGGGATGATCCAAAGCATATTGGAGACAATGGAAGTTTTTCTGCTGACTTCACTGGGCTTTGTTTCAGGCTCTTAAAGAATATAGATATTCTTGTAGGTCATCTTTTAAATACTAACTGAACATGAAAAATAAAGTGGGAACTGACCATCAGGATATCCACAAAAATAAGAGAAAGGGCAAGTTACAGACTTTGGGACTTTCTTCCCCTTTTAGGATATGGGTGATTAAAATTGGTAAGCTCATTTAATACTAAAGAGAGTTGCCCAAATAAATATCTTGCTTATTGATAAGGGAATAAACCCCTATTCTGTGATACAAATTACACTCTTTTGCATTAAGTTCCTGAGAAGGTTCACATGGACGTACTCTTAACACTTCTCTTCTTTTTAAGAATATCCTTTTCTCCCATTTACACCTAACATGCTAACATAGTTTTTGTGGTGCCAATTTTAGGACCATATACTCTTAAAGGGTTTCCTTACATAGAGCACAGTATCAAGATGCATTAAGATGTGACTGAAAAACTCCTCCATAGCTGAATGTGTGGACTATAGTTTTTTTTTTACATTGTCTCCACTTCAGAAGTAACAGTGCAGAAATATTTCAGTAGATCCAGAAATAATTAGTGGCACAATGGTTGCTACCCTATCAATCCAGCAGAATTTACACAGAAAACAACTTTGTAAATTATTGCTCTCCCAGCAAGACAGCACTATCTCATGGTGCTCTGATTATACACCTGGGGCTAGATTCACAAAGAAACATAGGCCGGGTGATGGCGAGGGTTGCAATGTCTAACTCTGAGGCACCTAGAAAATCACTGGGATTCACAAAGCCTGTGTTTGGTGCCTAGTTCCCTGTATAATGAATGGGCAGAGATAGATGCCTCTGAATTGGATTCACCAAAGCCAGCACACTAGGCAGCTCCTTGCCTAAGCTACCCAATGGGAGATGCCAAGCCAAAGGGGTTGTGCTGAGCCCCACCCTTCTCTTGGAGATATATGCCTCTAAGTCTGGGCTGCAGAGGGGTGCCGCCTTCTGCTTAGGATTCTCAGCTGCAAAGTCTCTCTTGCATTAGGTGTCCATGCTGTTTTAGTGAGGTGGCCCATAACATTTGGCCCAGTGATTAGGTTACTTACCTGGGATGTGGGAGATCTCTGGTTTAATTCCCACCGCTGCTTGAGGGGG